ACCGACCGTCCGACCAGCTGGCGCCCCTCCCTTCCCGCCTCGCGCGTGCCCCCGCGGCACCCCTCTGGTGCATTATTCCGACCTGCCGTCCGACCCCCAAGATGGCCCCCAACGCTCCCAAGAGTGCCCCAAGAGTGCCCAGGGAGGCGCCCGGGGAGGCCCACAGGAGGTCCCCACGAGACCCCGAAGAGGCCCCCCAAGATGCCCCCGAAAGCTCCCCCGAGGCACCCAAGACGCCCCAGGAGGCCTCTGGAACCGCCGTGAGGCCCCAAAGACGCCTCAAGAGGACCCCAAGAAGCTCTCAAGAGACATCCGAAGAGACTCCGAGAGACATGCGAGAGTCCTCGGGCTATTCTGCCCTCCCTCCTCCTCCTCCTCCTCCTCTTCATCCGCCTGTTCCTTCTCCTCCTTCCTTCCTTCTCACCCTTCCCCTCCCCCTCCTCCGATTGCTCCACTATCCCCCCCTCTTGGGGTATGACGGCTTCCCCGGCCTTGTATTCCACTGCATGCTCATCCGCATCCCTGATCAGGGCAACTCGTCTGGGCATCGATTCTAGATGGGCTGGTGGCAAAATCAGGACAACTCGCCTGGGCATCGATTCTCGATTCTGGATCGCCAGTGCATTCCCCCCCCACCAGCAACTTGTTTGGCGAAACCCATTCGGTCACGATTGCGGTTGCCGATTGGCGCTCGCTAGCGCATCCCTACGGCCGCTCTGGAGCGCGAGCGCTCGCACGCCAGGCGGCCAGCTGGTTTGTCACAACTGATGCTGCCGCGATGGCTCTTACCGATGGGAACTTTCCAGCGCGTCTCAACGGCCGCACTGGCGCGTGGGCGCTTCAGTGCGGATCGGTTGCTCGGGCGGGCGCGACACCATGATGACGTCGACAACGGTGGCAACGATGCTGATAGTAGCGATGGTGTTGACGATGATGACGATGACGATGGCGAGGCCACTGACGGCGCCGATGCTGGTGACGGCGATGGCGGTGATGACATCCATATGTCGGTGATGACGCTGATTATGCTGATGATGGTGGCAATGGCGGCGATTGAATACGACGATGACGGCGGCGATGTGATTGCGCCGTGAGGGTGGTGGTGAGGAAGAGCGCGCGCAGAGTGTTAAGAGATCTGGCAGACTTTTTCTTGAACAGCCGTTGGCGTTTCGCATCTTTGCTCCTCTTCCTCCCTCCTCCTCCTCCCTCCTCCTCCTCCCTCCTCCCTCCTCCCTCCTCCTCCTCGCTCCTCCTCCCTCCTCCTCCCTCCTCCTCCCTCCGCCTCCTCCCTCCTCCTCCTCCTCCTCCTCCTCCTCCTCCTCCTCGTCCTCCTCCTCCCTCCTCCTCCTCCTCCTCCTCCTCCTTTTCCTCCTCCTCCCCCTCCTAAGAGCTATACTTTCGAATGCGTCGGTGGCCAGTGGTTTTGACAGGATTTCGACGCACGCGCGCGTGGCGGCGCGCGCCTGCGCGCGTGGTCCACACGGCAGTGTTTGATACGGCTTTTTGTGCGCGGGGGCGCGTGCTCAATCAATGCAGACGCGCCGCGTGGTGAACTTTTTTCTTCTTTTTTTCCTGGCAGAACATCTTCAAGATTTCCGAGGAGCATGTGTTGATGCTCTAAAGCTTGCACCATTGATGTGTATGGTGCGGTCTCGACAAGTGCGCACGCGTGCGACGTTAGTTGAATAATTGCAGAACTTTGTTGCAACATGATCTTTGGAACTGCGCGAATGTACGCGCATGGTGTGACTTAACAGGGATGAGTGGGGGGGTCAATAGCAGCTTGTTCAGGGATGGTCTGATTTCATGTGGGAAATGAGCGGTGGTGCAGAATCGTAAATCGTACTACCATGGATTATCCCAAGGCGATGCGATAAGTCTGGGGTTGGTCGATCAGGGTGGTAAAGTCTCATTCCTCAATTAGGCTCGCCTCAAGTGTCATTTACTTGGTTAGAGGTTGGTGCCTCCAGGGGTTACTTTGCCGTTGCTCGAAGGTTCCCCAAGATCCCCGCCCCCGGTGCCTCCTAAGGCTACTTTGCCCGTTGCCTGGGGATTCCCCGGGTTTCCCACCCCTGGTGCCTCATGCCACGCAATGCGAAACAATGGGAAGCACTGCGAAGCAATGCGAACCAATGCCACGCAATGCCAAGCGATGCCAAGCAATGCGAAGCCATGCGAAGCCATGGGAAGCCATGCGAAGCAATGCCAGGCAATGCGAAACAATGCCAGGCAATGACAAGCAATGTCAAGCAATGCCGAACTATGCCAATCAATGCCAAGCCCCGGGCTCCCCTGGTTTCGCGCCCCAGTGCCTCATGTCGAGCAGTGCCAAGCAATGCCGAGCAATGCCAAGCACTGCTCCCATGTAATAGGAAACGTTCCCCTAGTTGGGGTCGCCCCGGTTTCACTTTCTTCTTATTTGGAATGAGAACGCATGTGGTGCGAGAATGTGGTGTAAACGTTTTTTTTGTTATTTGATTTTTGTTTGGATCGGGCGGTCACTTCCGTTTGCGACGACTCCGCTTCCACTCCACGGGCCGCCCTCCCTCGCCGAACACGCGAGCAGACGCGCTGCCGCCGCACGCCGCCGAACGCCGAAGGCAGTCCATGTACCCGGGAAGGAGGTGATCCTTGAGGTTGCCCGAGCCGCGCATCTCCCTCCAGTCGCGGCGCGCCCCGCGGGTGAGGAAGCGCACAGCCGACAGCTCGCGGTACTGGCGTGAGGTGTCCAGGCTGATCCTCGTGAACATCTGCCACCAGGTCCTGGCCTTGAGTTGCCGCGCGAGGAAGTCGGAGAGCGGGCGCGTCAGGGAGATGAGCAGCTGGGCGCGCCGGGCGGGCAGCCAGCTCCTCACGGCCTGCGGGAAGAGCTCCGAGAGGAAGCACTCCACGTCGAGATGCGCCCACGCGCGGGGGCACGGGTCCTCCTCGTGCACGTAGTTGATCGCGCGCTGCTGCATGAACGCCGCCAGGTCCCTCCTCGGCGTCGCTGGGCCGGAGGGGTGGGTGCCGAACACGGACGGGGCGCCAAACGTCACGCAGTGGGCCTTCCTCAGCAGCCTGTGGTCTGCCAGGGAGTGTGCCCTGTGCTCCAGCCTCCTCAGCCAGCGCCAGGCCCTCGACAATGCCCTGAGCTCCCGCCCCAGCGGAGAGGCCCCTGACCTGGCGCCCCGCTCGTGGAAGAAGACGTCCAGCATGAACGCCTTGGCGTACATTCCGCCGAGCGAGTGGCCCGTGACGATGACACCATCTATACCTGCGCGCTGCTCCTGGCATAACAGCTCAAACAGCTTGTCAGAATATCGTATGCCGAGCTGCTCGATGCCATGGTAAACCCCCTGGTGGACAAAGCTCACGTTGTCCCCGAAGGCGCGCATGAACGGCGCGTAGTTCGGGACCAGGGAGACGTCGACAACGAAGTCCGTGAGGCTGGACGTGCCCTTGAAGACCAAGAACAAGACCTTGCGGGCGTCTGGGTATCTGGCAGTGACGGCCGCCAGCCTGGACGTGACGCCGGCCGTGGGGTCCTCGTACACGTCGTGCACCTGCAGACTCAGCTCGCCCGCGTCGCAAGGGACCCTCACGCGGGTGCCAGGCTGGTGCTCGCTCTGACTGTAGACCCAGGAGCTCAGGTAGCCGGCCACCGAATGGTCCAGCAGCTCCGGGAACCCGGCCGCCCGGGCCAAGAACTCCGCGTCCAGCCGCAGCCTCTCGGCCACCGCCGCCCCGTCCTGCGGCGCCGCCCCACCCGGACCCTGCGCCGACGACGGCTCCGCGTGCGCGCGCGCCCGCGCGGCCGACGGCCCCCGCCGAGCGCCGCGCGCCGCGGAGGGGCCGCGGCCCCGCGGCGCAGAGCGGAGGGGCCTGGCGGCGCGGAGCAGCGCGGCGGGCAGGGCCGGGCCGCACAGGGCCGCGCACGCCGCCCCCAGGGCCGCCCCGCCGCGCGCCGCCAGGGCTGCCCCGTGGCGGGCGCGGCCGCGGCGGCCGCGGGCCATCGCCGACGACCGCGCGCCCGAGGCCCCCGTCGCCGCCCCTCGGGCTTCGGGCGCCGCCCACGTGGCGGAAACGACGTGGTGCAGGCCATGTGGCCACCCAGCGCACAGGGCGCCCACGAGGCGCCCGCGGTCGGGCACCAGCTGGACACCGGCCCGGGCCTCGGCGAGCCCAGCCAGCGCAAGGGGAGCCCACGGGGCGCCCAAGCGGCGCACACGAGCGGGCGGCATCCGGACACCCGGCGGCCCCGTGGCAGAGCCACTCTGAGCGCAGGCGGCGCCCGCGAAGGGCGCCACGGCAAGAGACACCAGCCGGGCACCGAGCGCACGGGGGGGCCACGCCTGGGCATCAACTCGGCACCAAGCCGAGCCTCAGCGGATCACCGAGCGCACGGGTGGGGCGCCCACGAGGCGCTCGCGACCGGGCACCAACATCGGCAAACCCAGTCAATTTCTCAGGTAACCGGAGGAAGATCCCCAAAGTGGAGGCACTGTCTGGGGAATATGATGCAAGAGAGAACCAGGTGCAACGCAGTGGACGTTGCCACTGAGAACGGACCCTCCCCCTGGGACAATACAGCCAGGGGAACTACAAGCGCCACCAGCCGCAGACTGTCACCCTCAACCTCTCAAGTGCAGACGATGTCTGGGGGGAGGCGACCCGTTTTTCCTTTTCCTAAGCAGCCCTCGCGGCCATGCTTGGTTAATGCCTCCTCTGGTATTACATGGTCCGTTGCGCGACGGCCCTTTCGCCGATCAGCAGCTGGCTTTCGTCTACTAGCCGTGAGCCGATTCGAAAGAACATCGCAAGTGGAACGGGAAGAAATCTACCAAGGTATGGAAAACTCAAGCATGCTGGCCAGTCCAGCCAGCATGACAAGGGGGGAGCACGAGGGAGCGAAGGGGCAAAAAGGCCCCGTGAGGAAATGCCCACCTGGGTCCTTTTAGCCAGGACGGTGGAGCACATAACATCGAGAACTGTTTGTCTGGGCTCTCGCGAGAGCTCGCTCACCTGCCAAATCCTGGAAGCTTTGAAATAATCCCACGCCCACGCTCTAACTCTTTCTGGAAGGCCTCGCGGCTGCCACCGCAGACCTGGAACACCTGCCGGTGCTGCGCCTGGAGCAGTACAAGTCCGAGGGCCGTCAGCAGTATGAGGTTGTGCCACATCGTGGCATGCAGCTGTGGGTACGGCAGCCCCAGGGGGAGATCCTGCCAGGCGTCGCAATGCAGGCTGTCAGTGATCCACGCCACGATCGCGCAGACGCAGGCGCCGAAGACAACACTGTGGAACAACCTGATTTCATTTCCATGCTTCTCGGGGGCCACCAACTGGATCTCCTCGGCCATCTTTGTCGAAGTATAACCTAACGAAACAAAGCATGCTGTGAACGACAAAACCATTACGACCCGCCCCAAAGCGTGCATCGTAGAATCTCGACTGGTCAGAAACATCCACGGAATGAGCGACAGGAAGAAAGCCAAACAAGCCCACGAACCATTGCTGGTCTGCCCCCTGGGATTCACGCCAATTTGCCCGCGCAACCGGTGATGGCCGTACCACGCCGTGTGCAGTACGAAGCCGGACATGGGTAACTCATCAAGGAGCTGGGCCTCGTACCGCAACGTGGCGTGGAAGACGAATGAGCCAGTTCCAATCACAGGGCTGAGAAATCAACCTACCGAGAAGACCTTTCACCGTCTCCCTTCCATCTCATCATCCAATCTGAGATGGACAAGAAGAGCTCGGTAGCGGGTGGAAACACCTCGCATTGGAGATTAGGGGTATGAGACCTTCTCTGAGACCATCCCTGAGAAGAACCTGTGTTTCGTGATCGTGTCATGCACTGCGTGTCGTGGTTGCGACGCTGTGTGCGCTGAGGACCTTCTTCTGGGCGCCGTCGAGCCATACTTACTGCTGCTCCTCCTTCTATTGCTCTGTACTGGCGGGGTGTCTTATTTAACGTCTTGTGACCTCATGCGGTGTCCAACGGGGCGTCTGGCAATGTCTCCAGAGATATCCAGTTGTGTCTGACGGGGTGTCTGCGATGTCCCATGGTGTTCCATTGTGCCAATAGGTAAAACCCCCCCATGCTCGCAAGGACGTGCGCCTCCAAGGAATCGGGAGAGGCACGCTGGGTACACGCTGCACATATACTTCGATGCTCAAATGTGTTCGAGTTATGCCCCCGTTCCCGCTGTCTTGGTCTGATCGGGCTCCTCCCTCTTCCCCTCTCGCGCTCTGGTCTCTTTCGCCTTGTGCCTCAATTCGCTCCCGGTGTACCCCACCGCTTGCTTGAACAGCGCCTAACTGTCTTGGACCACGTGGCGCCCGCGGACTCAAACAAAAGTGTTCGAGTTATGGACCAGGACGGCTTAGTAGCGGTAGTGGCTAGCAGCAGCCCTGCTAGTAGCTGTAGTCCTAGTGAAAGCAGTGGCGGTACTATTAGCAACAGTAGCGATAGTCTCAATCGTTGTGCAGTGGTGTCCAACGGACACGCCTATAATTAAACTTGATGTTCGGTATGACTGAAACAAGGTGTGAATGTTTTTCTGACGACACGGTTGCCCGAGACAGCAATGTGAGTAATGACGACGACGATGACGATGATGACGATGATGACGATGACGATGACGATGACGATGACGATGACGATGATGATGATGATGATGATGATGATGATGATGATGATGATGATGATGAAGATGAAGATGATGATGATGATGATGATGATGATGATGATGATGATGATGATGATGATGATGATGATGATTAATGCGGTGCGAAGTGATGACGATTCTTGTGTGAGGTGTCCTCAGCCCCAACCTCCGTATCGGTCTAGACTGATCGTATTTGTCTATTTCCAGCCCGAAATCAACATAGTGAGCGCCAGGGTGCGCACGGCTTGGGCATCCAACATACCGCATTGCCTCAGTCCCTGCCCTGTGTACACAGAGAGTGGCTGCCATATGAGGTTCGACAGCGTGTTCCAGGGCTCCGCAATATACCTGATCAAGCCCTCGGAGTAGGGATAGTTCTTTTCGCACCAATCGAAATCAGCAGTCGGTGGGCCCCAAAACCCATTACGGACGGATTTTCTCCGGAGTCCACCGTCTCTCTTCCCCACGGGGGCTAAATACATCGTCGTGGTAAGTGCCAGAAACATCATCAATATATTTCTGGCAGTGGAGGCAGATACCATGTGTAGGTGGGTCTGCCTGACAGCAACTTTGCCTATGTGCAAACAAAGACTGAGCCACCATACCTGCGGGGGACAGGGTGTACCTTGATGGTATGCGAACGCGAGAAATACATGGAAAGGGGGAACGTGGGCTGACAGATGACCGCAAAAACAGCAAGACCGCGAAGATGAGCGTAATCTACTTGCTAAGTTTGACGGGCGTTATAACATTCATTCGTGACACCTCGTGCTCTGTCCTCATACGCGAAGACTGCGCGGAACTCGTGCGGTCCTGCAAAACCTGTCGAAACACATTGATGTCCATGCTGTCTGGGCTCGCGAAAACATAACCATGCCAAACCAAGAACCCCTCCAGCCGACGCATCTGCGTTTCGCCTGGTCATGCCAAGGCGAACCGCAAGTGAAACGAAACTGAATCGAATCATCCACGACACCGTCATTTCAATACTGCCGAGCTTGGCTACGCTGAACCCAGGCGGGCTTGAGCTGGGCGGAAGCAAGCTAACCCACAGTAGTCGAGCTATAGTAGGGCAAGGTGCCAGTAAAGGTTGGTCTAAGACCAGCTCAAACATACACCTGTACTTATATCAGAGTGAAGGGGCCGACCGGTCATTCATTGTCCCTGGGTGCGTGGATATAGTGGGGATCCGTGGTGAAGATTATGCTTCTTGCGTCGTTGTTGTAGTTGCTGCTGTTGAATGTTAATCCCACCAGCCCTCTGGGCGTAGGTGGTCTAGAACAGATCCTCTTCCACCCCTCCCTCTTCCCCCTTGGGGAGGGGTTTACCCCTCCCCCTACCCCCTCCCCTGGACCTGGACGGGGGGGGCCGCGGGTAGTTAGAGCGTCCAAGATGGCCCAAGACGGCTCCAAGAGCGCCTCAGAGAACCCAAGATGAGCTCCAAGATGGCTCAAGATAGCGCAAGATCGCTCACGATGGCTCCTAAGATGGTTCCAAGAAGCCCAAAGACGGCCCCAAGATAACTCCAAGTGGCCAAACAGCTCCCCAAGGAGGCCCCGAAGAGGCCAAAATCGTCCCAAAACCTAAGGAAAATCAATGATTTTTGCTTTCTCGCCTTTTCGCTTCCGATGGCTATCCGAGGCCTGGAGATGGCTCCAAGATGGCCCAAGAGGGCCCCAAGAGAGCCCCAAAAGAGCCCCAAGACGGCCCCAAGAGCGCCCAAGAGCACTCCAAGAGCGTTCCAAGAGGGGTCCAAGAGGCGATTTTAGGGGCTTCCGAGGGGGGGCGCTAATTAAACCCCCCCTCTTGTTTGATCGACTCCCTCCAAGATGGCCCCAAAAGCGCCCCGAAGGCTCCCCAGAGCGCCTCAAGAGGGTCCCAAGAGGCGCCCAAGATGCCCCAAGGCGCCCAAAAAGCCCTCCAAGAGGCCCTCAAAAGACCCCCAAGAAGCTCCTTCCCCTCCTCCTCCTCCTCCTCCGATTCTTCCTCCTTCTCCGTCCTCCTCCTCCTCCTCCTCCTCCTCCTCTTCCCCCTCCTCCTCCTCCTCCGACGACGACGACGACGACTCCTCTTCCATCCTCCCCCTCTCGGGGTCTGTGACAGCTTCCCCCGCCCTTTGTTATTCTGCATGCTCCCCGACTTCCCTGATCACCTTAACTCCCCTGAGCATCGTTTCTGGATGGGCTGGTGGGGATACGCGAAGCGTCAACAATTTCTTAACAGTTTTTATTGTTGGACCCCTTACAGGCGCCCTGGCGCTCTCGCCGAGGCGCCAGCTACATTTTCATTGAGAATGAGGCTCGCGCTCGAGCGGTTTTGGGGGACCGCCAAAACCGGCCCCCCAACAACAACGCTCCCGCTCGAGACTTCCTCCTTTTCTACTCAGGGCTGGTCTTCTTGCTCGCCGCCGAAAGCCGCCGTCCTAACAAAACCAGCGCTCCCGCTCGAGACTTCCTCCCCTCCGCCTCCTCCTCCTCCGCCTCCTGCTGGTTCTCTTCCCGCTCCTGCTTCTCCTTGCTCTCCTTCTCCTCCTCCTCCTCCTGCTCCTCCTCCTCCCCTCCTTCAAACTCCTCATCCAAATACCTCGCGTGGACATCGTTTCTGGATGGCTTGTAGTGATACGCGAAGTGTCCCTCAATCACAAGCTGATTCCTGTTGTGGGTTGGTGGAGGCCGGTGTGGGAGGGGGGTACACAGATGTTAGCCAGCGTGGACCCCAAACGGTGCGTTCTAGCATACTATGTGATGCAATCTTTGTGATGCAAACTATGTGGCGCCATCTCTGTGGTGCAAGCTATGTGGTGCAAGCTATGCGGTGCAAACTATGCGGTGTAATCCACTTTGACTGTCTTGAAGCTGTCCTCTCCACTGCTCGTGCAAACATCCCACCCACCCACCCGCAACTTGGTTTGCAAAACCTGTTCAGACCGACTACGACGACACCGACGACAACGACTAGGACGACACCGACGACGTCTCCGACGACTTCGACGACGACAACGACGCCGACGCCGACGACGACGAAGACGACGACGACGACGCCAACGAAGGCGACGACGAGGGAGGAGGAAGGACGACGACGGCGACAACGACGACAACGACGACAACGACGAGGGAGGAGGGAGGACGGCGACGACGCGAACGACGACGAAGGAGGAAGGACGGCGACGCCGACGACGACAACGACGAGGGAGGAGGGAAGACGACGACGACAACGACGACGACGACGGCGACGAAATAGGAGGGACGACGACGAGACGCCGACGACGGACGACGACGACGACGTGGGAGGAGGAGGAAGGACGACCACGGCGACAACGACGACGGAAACGACCACGACGCCAAAGAGGACGACGACGACGAACACGAGAAAAGACAGAGGACGACGTAGGCGACGACGACGACGACGCGGGAGGAGGGAGGACGGCGACGACGACGACGACGACGCAAGAGCGCGCGCGCACGCTTTTGTTGAAAATCCGTGTTGCGAAACCCTGGGTTTTTGTAGGTTTTTTTGACACGATTTTGAAACCCTTCCGGAACCGATGGGTTTTGAAGGTTTTCGGCATACGCCGCGACGACGCGCGCGTCTGCACTTCGTCCTGTTTTTTGCAGAGGATTCTCGCGACGGCACACGCGCAAGGGCGTTCGACAGATTTCGACATGCGCGCGCGCGAAGCCCGTTTGGTAGCATTTTGTGACAATCTAGGAAAACCTATGGTTGTCTTAAGATTTCGCAAGAGCTCGCGCGGAAGCTTTTTTAGCAAATCAGTGTTGCGAAACCATGTGTTTTTGTATTTTTTGTTGGAAACGCGATTGCGAAATCCTTCCAGCACCGAAGGTTTTTGAAGGATTTCGGCATGCCCGCGCGACGACGCGCGCGTGTGCACTTCGTCAATTTTTTTGCAAGGGATTCGTGAAAAAGTGTTA